AATAATGACCGGTCTGATCAGGGCATGGCAATATCCCAAGCCTGTTATACCTGCACGAGCGCGTCGATTGACTGCCCCTTGCCATCCATATTCTGTTAAACTGGTTGATGATCTATAAACTGCACTTTTCACTGCATAACAAACGCTATGGCCAGTGTAAAAAAAGCACAAGTGTGCCTTTGCACATATTCACATGTGCACACTTGCATCGCGTTGTGTGGAGGCATCCGAGCTCGATGCCTCGGCCAACTATATTTCATACCCCCGCTCCATTTTATGCTCGTTTATGCTGAGACAACTATCTGCGCCCCTCTCTTTTCGCATTATGTTCGCTTGATCTGAAACTCGATCCTCAGGGTATCTCGATACCTTTTTCCCTATATGCCTGACTCCGTCTGTCACTTCCTGCTTCTCTCTACATTCATCCATCCGTCTGTCTGTTGTACATTTCATCTAGTGTGAAAAGTTGGCTGGAAAGGATTAGGGGGTTGGTCTCATTGGAAACCGAATGATGATCACGTTGGCGTTGTGACTGTTGACTTGGTCATAGAAAACCTCGGAAAGCTCTTGCTCCCATCTGCCCAGAGAATCAGATCCTTTAAGAAATCAGATCGCTAAACCATGAATAGCGGTTGGCTGTAATCCTACCTACTCCTTATAACCTAATTTTACTATTTTACCTAGGCCTCTTATCATTTTTTTTTATTCTTTCTTTGCGTGCTTGCAGATAAGTAAAGTGGGTTTGGTTTTAACCGAACCGTTTTTCCTACTTTTTATCCTAAAACGTTGATGCGCCTCCTTATTTTCGTTTACTCGTATTTTATGCATGCGCTGCTCATGGGCTATATGAGGCGGGAAAGCTCTAACTAGATTCGAGGCTATTCAAGCATCCTTCTCTCGCTCGAAGTTACTTCCTTTTCTCTCTCTCTCCCTCTAATCCCATACAGCAACCCCAAAAAATGCCCACTTGATTTGCCTCATTCGTTCCTCCACTTGAAGATATTGGCTGTCTTTCGTTTAACTAGGTTTTGAGACGATTACTAAGTCATATATACAAGATATTTGATCTCATATGGCATACTGGTAGTCTTGAAATTTAGTAATATATAGAAACAAGTAATGTAGTCGATTTTTATAGCAAATACAACTTTGCTTCAGCGACACTTTCACTACAGAAAGTGTTATGGGTAAGGCCTGGCAATCCTTGAAATTCGCGTCTGCTCTGTGACCCGAGGGCGCCCGTAGCAGTGTGGTGCAGTGGTTAACGTATCCAAAATATATGCTGCACTATCCGGATTCGAGTCCTGGGGGTGCTGATGAGACCAGCTCAGGTGAGGTCGAAACTGCAGTCCACTCCAGCCTGGAGGAGAATACCTTTTGGGAGGCAAGGCTATGTGGAATTCACTGGGAACATGAGGCCTACTCATTGCATTGTAGGAACATTCACATACCAGTCCTTCATTATCTGAAACGAAATTGGGTGAATACATCCCATATATTGACTGTATTGTTTGCTTCTATAAGCTTCTTAATTTTCCGCTTAACCAACTCCGTATTTTGATTCCACAAATCTTCACGAGCAGTTTAAGGCTCATTTCCTCTGTCTGATTACGGGCGTCACTTAAACACAAAACTCTGTAATTATCTGATCTGGAGAGAGGATTTGAAAATTCCCGAAAGAAAGGCGTTACAAATGAAATTGTTATTTTCTCATTATGCATTGTTCCTCGAAGGAGATTAAGATTGCACGTCAAAACGGAGGATTAGGACGTTTTTATAAACAAACAAAATAGCCAATATCCTGAATAAAGGGAGCAAGCTCAAACGAATCACAACCACATTCACTTTATTTTCCTTTAAACATGCAAGAGACGAATAGAATAACCAACCATGAGATGTTTATAAAAGCAATAAAAACAGCCAACATCCTACTTTCTCTATCTAAAATTTGGATATACATGCTTAGACAGATAAAATATACGGAGAAGTCATTCTCATTCATTATTCCGGGGCAATCTCTTTCAATTTCGGTAAAAACGGGCTAATTCCGTGGTATGGCGGACTCTTTAGTTTGAATATGGTTGTGAGAAGGATACCCTTCTCTTATGATGTCCATCAAATGACAAACGAAGGCTTAGCACGTGTTCATCGGGATCGAAGAGGGTTGCCTCAGAAAAAGCGTCAACAAGAATGTTCCAGTAGAGCTAATCGGCGCCTGGCCATGAAAGCAGACAGACTTTTCATGTTTTCCTTGCATGTATATGTCGCAATATCATAGGCTGAAAGAGAGAGTATGGATAAAAGATAAACATAGTTCCATCTGAGCTCTCGCTTCATCATCGTTCGGCCATCTGCTCTGAAAATGCATATTACATGACGAAAAGCTTAGCTTAGGATGAAGAGACTATCTTACCGAAGGATTCATATCTAGATTTTGAATTCACTTACATCCACACGACTCGGAACGGAACGTCGCTCAGCCCCATGCTTTAATTTTGGGCCTACACGCCTCTTTGTCACATCCGGTTTTGATATGAGATTTGAGCCAGGGGCGTGGCTAGAGCTTTAAACCACTTTCGGTAAAACCATCACTGCTTTATTTTTATGGGGCTATTCTTTTTGAGTGGACCTTGAAGGATCAATCTACAAAGTCATTGCATTTGCATCTACAGACAAGCGTTACAGCGACGGTGACTAGAAAGTGGCCTGCCGGCCGGAGCTGACCGAGGATAATTCGCTGTTGGATCGAATTATGCATCGTCTTGCATCCTACTTTTTCATCAATCCAAGTTCAACTCAACGCTGAGGTCATTTTACATTTGATGATATATTTGTCTGGATTGGGATCCGAGCTCTGAAAATTTAGTTGGCAAATGAATACTTAAATTTCTCTTTCGAACACTTGTACTAATACTTAGTCCACGTAGAGCCGTCACAGCTCTTCCAAGTTGTACCTATCGTTGGATCTCTTCTTTCTTGCTCCTGACTGGTTATCTCACAATTTAGCTCTTGCT